GATAATAATAGTAATAAATAGCATGAGACATTGAGGTGAAATCAAGCAGTCGTCATTTTTGGGGCATATTGAGTTATTGGTATCATTTTAAAGCTTTCATTCTTTTGACAAAAGAACATACCAGGCTTGTTTTATAGAAATTGAGCCATTTGCGATTGAAGAAGGTGGGGGTACCTGGTTTCAGAGAGAGAATTAGCAAGAACATTTTAATGGCCTTCAAAGTTTGGTGCCAGTGTTAGCTTGAGAGTACTCGGGAACTAAGAATTCACATTTTTTTTCAGTCTGAGTGAAAAATGAGAACTTGTATAAAAATTGCTAGTCCGGCAGAAAATGCCAATTTTATGGATTTCGTAATTTTGACGAGTTCCTAATTTCACTGCGATGCCTCGCGTCAAATCCCCGCTCGAGAGCAAACTCTATGAGGTGCTTCTCACTATATGGTCGCTTTTAAGGACAAGGGGGCTATCCCGAAAAAAGCTGTTTTGAGAAATTGGAAGGTAAAGTTTTTGCCCCTTTTTCAGTTTCTTTAATAGACAACTATACCCAGACAAATATACACACCAATAAAACCAAACTTCTCCTGTAGGTGTGGCAATGCCCATTTTTGGTGTAGGACAAGATTTCTGGAAATCCCAGGAAATCTGGGTTAGCCCGCTTGTCCTTAAAAGCCACCATATTTATTAAGATCTCACACGGGTCGTGAATTTACTTACCTAGATCATCGGCCACAATAAAGACAATGTGTGGAGGTTTCCTGACTGCCAACACTTGATCCGTCAACACCACTACTGTCACACACGCAAGGAGGCATTCCCAGAAGATGTCCATCTTTATTTTGGGTGTGTTTTTACTTGTTAATGGAAGTTGCTACTTTTCTTTCACTCATTTGTTTAGCTGCTTTTCTCTCTGGCCTTTTCCCCTTCACTTTATCATTCCAGGTACCTTTATCGTGTATAACTTTTTGTCTTCACTCAAACTAAACTAAACTTGACAATTTATTCATGTATCAAGGTACTGATGGGTGTTGTTTAACAATTACTTTTGTATAGCCGTTGAATTAGGATAGTCTCGTTAGGTTAACGTTATCCCCTTTTTCTTAAGGCGTACTGGTGTTTATTCTGTCTTTCGGTACAATGTACTCCCGAAACACAGCATAACTGTTGATTTCAGCTGTTTCTGGAACGGGAAATACGATGCTCAGAAATACTGCCTATTATTTCAGTAGCATAGTTCCTACAACTGATATTTCAACTTGTAGAGTTTCCCATTCGAACATTTCCGGAGTGGCATCCACTTTTCTTGGTGTCGAAGCTGTTCAAGTGAGTTTCTCTGTTTTGCATCCTGAATAAAAAGGATAAGTTTCAAAAAGGTAGAAAGGTCTTTGTAGGCACTTCTGTGGTGCAGTTTGAAGTGTTGAAAAAGAGCGGATAACGAGATCACAGCTTTAGTAATTATTTATGTTACATTTATCGGAGTAGCTTAAAAACAAACTACCCTGTTTAGTATTAGAATTGATTACGTTCATTTATTGCACTAGAACGTCGATAAGGAACATAGGATTAGTTGTTATAAAGAGCACACTTATGAAGCAAAGTCCGGGACTTTAAGTGAGTGAGTCTTGAACATGCACAACGTGAAATGTTTCTGTTGTATACATCAAGGAAGTTAAATCTAGCAACTCTGTTCGGAGTCACACACTACAATAATAACTACTGTCAGAATACTAGATTTAGATATGCTTTGCTGGAGACAAAGCAAATTTCTAAAGAGCCCGTTTGGAGATTCGTTAATCTGTCACAAGGTGAACATTTTGCTGTTGCTACGTATACCCACAAGGCAGGTGAACCTAATCAGCAAAATCTTGATAGGGACTCCAGCGATGAATGGGCAGCTTGGCAATCTCTCTCAGTGTTTTATAGGAAATGCATCATCACCATCTGCATCATTATCTCCGCCAACTCGTGGCCTTATTACAGACAGAGGACCACTTAACACCGTAACCGAAAAAACAACACAACACCCACCACTTTTACATTTTAGCTCTTGCTTAACAACTCACAATCAGCCTCAAAGAATATGAAGTAGAAAAGAGCACTTAACTCACTTGAATCCTGGTAGACATCTCCTTTGATGCTTTCCGTGAACTTTGAGCTCTGGATGTGAGAACAACGAGGGAGGAAAGGATAATTGGATAACCGGATACGTTCACTGGCCACTTATGGGGTTGTGGTGTGTATGTACATCTCTCACTCGCGTTTGAAGGAGAAAAAAAAACCTAGTATGTGTGAATCTGGATCAAACTAACTTTTTAGATTTTTTTGGGGGGGGGTTGAGAAAATGAACATACCTTTCAAACTCTATTTGGAATTTTTACATTCAATTTTTTAAACATTGTTTTGACTAGATATCGAGAACAAAAGTTTCCAAAAGCTAAATAAAATGTGCGTTGTTTTTTTTTCCAATTTGCAATGAACGTTACCTTTGTTAGATACTGGACTTTTAACTCCGACAGCAGTAAGCTAACAACAGCGATACGGACTCGTCACTGTCTCTTTATCTTCTCCCACCAACACAATTAATACTTACACATACCAACTACAAGTTAATCAGTGTTCAATCTTCTCACTTTCCATTTTGTGATAAACGGGCTCCGCTTATCTGCAATCTCCATTGGTACAGTGATCTACATTCTTTTAACGAAGGCCATGTTAAAGTTTGTTTTTCTCTTATGTGTTCGCATGAACACGATTCGTGTATATTAGTAATTATTTACAAGAGAAGAGGAAGATTTGGTTGGTGAGTGAGTGGGAAACAGAAAGAGAGAGAGAGAGAGAGAGAAAGGGAAGGGAGAGAGAGAGGGAGAGAGAGGTGGAGAGAGAGGGATGAAGAGAAACAGACACACAAACAGGCAGGCAGACAGATAGACAGACACAGATTGACAGAACGATAGGCAGACAGACAGTCAGACAAACATAGAGTGGGTGAGGTAGGAACAATACATTTTCTTTTGGAAGTGATTAGAGAGAAGAACATAAAATAAAGAGAGATACTACAAGTGGGAAGAGAAAAGGTAGTAGCGAGAGAGAGAAAGAGAGAGAGAGAGAGAGAGAGAGAGAGAGAGAGAGAGAGAGAAAGAGAGAGAGAAAGCCAGCCAAACTCTCTGGACAGAAAGAGTTCAGACCTGGTGCGGAGGAGTGCTCTCCATGACTGCATTGGTCAGCAACACCTTGCCCACCTCCACAGACTTCAGCATGAACACCTGTGGGCAGTTTTAGTTTAGTTTTAGTAAGAGTTTTACGGCGCTCGCAACACAAATAGGTCAAATAAGAGACACATATTAGGGAGTATAATAATAATAATAATAATAATAATAATAATAATAATAATAATAATAATAATAATAATAATAATAATAATAACAATAATAA